TGTTTTTTATCTTATATTTTGGAAATGTACATCCAGGTGTTTTTTTTCCTTTAATTTTTTGGGGGGGTCCAAGAGAGTGGGACCCTAAGCTATAGCTTGTTTAGCTTATATGTAAATCCGGCACTGGGTGTGGATAATGGGATTTGCAGATACTTGTAAAAAGTGTGGGCCAGATTCACCTAATGTGTCCCAATCAGCAGAACACCTGCAGGACTTCTGCTTGTGCAACAGGGCTTTCCTCCATCAGTCAAAACTGGTGGACGCAGGCTGGTCGAAATAATCCCTAGAACACTGTGGAGGAGGGGATCAGCCTATCTAGCAAATAGCAATGCTTGTGCAGCCAGAAGGTCTGGAAGGGTTCAAGGTCCAATTCCACTCTATGTTTTATAGAGTAGAAGCTGGCCTATTTACATGTTGTATAACCTTAGGTACTCTTCCACCCTCTTAATATGTTAAGATAAAAGAGGGGGAAAGCCAGCTCCTCTTTCAAGTTGTGAGGGGCCACAAATTTTAGCTTCAGAATCCACTTTATTTATTTTCTGAGCAAAATGTTTTTTTCAATTGCAGATCTATATAAAAATACCTTTAGAGATAACAGTTAATATGCTCAGAGATAACAGTGATATTTTCTTGACCGTAAAACATGTCAGTGAAACCCTACAGAAGATCAAATACATGATTGAAGTAAATGTACTTTGTTCCAATAGTTAATGTGGAAACAACCATTTTCATTGTAACAATTACACCTTTGGACTCAGCTATTAGCTCCAAATAAAACATTTTGAATGTGTTGTAAAGTGCAATATGCAATTGTGACACTATATGGCAACTGTGAGCTATAGCAAATTCAGTGCATTTTTCAAAACGGTTTTTTAAAAAAGCATTTTCACAACGTTTTTAACACATGTGTAGATTCCACCTTTGCCTTCCATCCGAGTTCAGAAACAATGTGTTAATTTTGTCATAAATGCATATTTGGGTAAATGAGTTTTCCATTCCTCAACTGTGGAAATCTCTCTTTTTATCCATTACTTAGCACAAAGAATTCTGGCTCTGCTTATACAATATTTAGTCTATTATTTCTTAGCAGAAGGCCTTCTCTACCACAAATGGATAGTTCCAATTGCATTTCCAGCAGAGAGGATTGCAAGTATCCATAATTCTGTCTCGTTTTGGGAGCAGTATATTGCATCTGGGTATCATTTTATAGCACAAAATGTAGAAAGAATGCCACATCTTCAGATATTATTTTCTGAATTTACTTAGTGAAATTTAGAGGTCACTAACTGCCAAGAATACACTCCTTAGTTGCTAAATCAAGACCGCTAACACAACTAATAAAAAAAATGTACACAATGCCAACTGCAGATTCATACATTCTTCATTCAAACATGGTACAATTAATGCTGACACTATGTGTGATATCTATTTAACTTTATGAAGTCAAATAATGGTATTAAGTCGAGAGTTTTTACAGGAAAGACTGGAGAAAGACTTCAGTGTAAATAACTTTGAAGGAAGGGTTATTATACACATAAAGTTGATTACTTATGCTTTACATATTATCACCCAGCAAAGAGGTAAATATTGTTTTGGCATCCACCTAAAATTTGCTATGCTATTACGGGTGTGATAATCCTATGCATGTTTACTTGGAAGTGAGTCACTCTGTGTTGTGTTCAATGGGCCTTGCCCCCTTGTAAACTGTTTGAGTTGTTGGGTGTACAGTATGTAGGTGCTCAATCAAGCGGTTAAGGTCACCACAGAAAACAACTGTTTAGCAGAGTTGTCTTTACTAGACTAACACCAACCTACATTACTCTACATACACACACTATTTACAGATGTTACACGTAGTCTTCTCTCTCTGAGCCCAGAGAGGGTTCTTTCCTTCAAAGTCCTTGCTGTGTTAAAGTCCCCAGCCAAGTCCTTAGTTCAGTTGCTTGCAAAGTCTTGCAACTGAATAGAGTCCTCTGAGTTCTGAAGTCTGGCAATTTTCCAACTCCTTCCTCTGACAATCTTTTCAAAAAGACTTCAGTCAAATCCACAGTTCCAAAGATAGCCTTCAACAATTCATGCAATCTCCAAACACAACCCTCACAGTAAGCTGTAACCCGAACCCTTTTATACACAAAGTTACTTTCCAAATCTGTCCAGTAACACATAAAGAAAGTCACAAGATGCATAGTGGGGTTTGAGCCATCTCTGCTGACGCAATGGAGAATTGATGCCTTAACTACATACCTTCAGGACCTGCTCCAGCTCGATTTTTCCTTACACTAAAAGGGCAATTCCACCATCATTTGCCCTGCAGGAAGGATCTTGATTTTTTTTTTTTTAGGGGATGGGGTAGAAATTCTGTTCCCATTTAAAGTTGAAGCTACCTAGTCTGCACATTTCAAAACAATACAATAATCCTTTGAATTTTTAACTTTTCCAAACTTCGCAGTGCAGATCTCTAGCCAGGTTATATGTATAAAACTGCATAAATTTGATGAAATGTGCATAAAAATGCATATATTACTGAAAACATGCATTGTATTAGGAAAGCTGATTTGCAAATGTGCATATTAGGCAAAATTGCACCCAAAAATGTGTATATTAAGAGAATGGTGCACTAAAATGCTGACAAATTTTTCATGAGACTTTTCCTTTTTAAAAAAAAATACAAAATTGCAATCTTTTATGGAAATGTGGAGAACTGAAAAAGAGAAATTGTGAGAAATCAAAACTGACAGATTCGCCCGTCGATATGTTCTATATATTGATATTGCCTATTGTTGTTTAACGGAATGGAAAAATGAATCCAAGTCACATTGGAAGGACTTATATCCTGAAAGCTGTGATATAAATAACTGCAATAAATAAGGAAATAATACAAATTTTGCCAGAATCTTCTGAAAAGAGACATGCTGTATCTCATTTTCCATTGTGATATGCAGAAGACGGATCAGCCCAGGAGGAGATTATTCCTGCTTTCAGAAGCACCTCTCTGAAATAGCAGAACATTTGAGAGCTTGATCTGACAATTATCACTGATATCAGTGAAGAGTAAGCCTCTACTGCACTGGAAGGCAAAGGAATATTCTCTTACTACTTGCATAGATGTGTGTCTGAGTATGTCTTAGTCTAATTTTCCTTTCTGCCCACCTGCCATTGAGCAGCTTAGTTTATTTCGTACACACAATTGGGAGGAAGCAATCATTTCCTAGATGCTGAGATGTGCTGAAGGAAGACATCAAACATTCTGAAGTTTGAACCTTTGATTCCAGGTTGCTCAAAGGCATCAGGCAGCAACTACAGATTCGCTACACATTAGAATAGCCTGGGTTAGGAAATGGGGGTGATTATAAGATAAAGTGCACAAAATTAAAGCCTTCAAGCCAGATCTGTCTCTCAAACTGAATTCATAAGGACGCCGTGTCACCCTTTCAAGTAAGAGTATTCGGCTATGCTTTTAAAACCATACGCATGGATTCAATTATCATTTATATGGGTGTGATTCCTTTCATTCCAAAGAAACAACATGATGCATTGAGGCAACAACGCTCCAAACACCTGCTTGGAATAGGGTTGGCTGGTCTGGAACATGAAACAGTCCCTGTGCCCTTAAAAGTTTCACAGAGGGAAGATGTTCACCTGATATCAGGTATGAGGTTTCCCCATCACAGTTCTGCAGTAATGGAAGAAGCTACAGCTATGAAAACTCTCCTTTTATACAAAGCTTAGTATATTTACAGCACAAACTTACTGTAGTAGGTTTCACCCCAGTTTAACTTCCCAAGACTCCAGGGTGTGGTTGCTTGTTGACACTAGTGTGCAATCTCTGCTAAATATTTCTCCTTCTCCCCATAGACTTGGTTCATTTGGGACAACCAATGACTTTTAAAGCAGTTGAAGTCTGTAATGTAGACACACTGTATTAAAGATAGAGCAGCTCTTTCAGATAGGGCAGGGGTGGTACCCAATGAGATGCTCTGCAGATGTTGTTCAACTACAACTCCCATCAGCCCCAACCAGCATAGCCATTGGTTAGGGATGATAGGAATTGTAGTACAAAACATATGGATGGCACCACATTGGCCACCTGTGACTTATAAGGGATACAACATTGTAAACCTGCGTTTATTTAGTACCGTGAGTGCCCCACAGAACTACAAATTACATTTCTTTCTTTATCATTTTATCTTATATGCATATAATATGCATGTACGCACAGGCACACGCAGAGCAAGACTGGTATATGCACACATACAAATTAGGTAATGATAAACAATTAGAAACTATAAAACATGTAACAATAATGTAGACTGTAATGGAATTAGTGAAACAAAAAAGCCTGGGTGCTTTAATCTAATTGAGATTTTATCCCTGTAATTTTCCTGCTAAAGGAAGTTTTCAGCTTAAAGAAAATTAAAATGCGTGATTACTTTAGAAGCTGATTAAGCTCTTGCATTTGTTCCAAGACAAAGAGAGAGGTTGAGAATGATAAGCTGGTCAGTATCTCATGTAATAGAAATTGAAGAATAGTCTTGGCAAGAAACAGGATGGTATTTATAAACACTCCAGGGTATTGGGAGCTGAAACAAGTACCCACAGTAGTATAGTTTGAAATTACGTCAGATATTTTGCAAGCATAGGAACAGAGAAGAAGAGGAGTTTGGATTTGATATCCCACTTTATCACTACCCGAAGGAGTCTCAAAGCGGCTAACATTCTCCTTTCCCTTCCTCCCCCACAACAAACACTCTGTGGAGGTGAGTGGGGCTGATAAACTTCAGAGAAGTGTGACTAGCCCAAGGTCACCCAGCAGCTGCATGTGGAGGAGCGGAGACGTGAACCCGGTTCACCAGATTACGAGTCTACCACTCTTAACCACTACACCACACTGGCTCCCAGTGGAAGGAAGTTGTCTTCTACTGAATTAGACATTTTGTCCACCCAGCTCAGCATTCTTGACACTGACAGGCAGCAGCTCCCCAGTGTTTCCCAGTCCTACTTGGGGATGTCAGGAATTGAAGCTGGGACATTTTGCATGCAAAGCAGATGCTCTAGCACTGTGCTACAACTCTTTCCCAGTGGAAACGTAGAGTAGCAGAGCATAAATAATGGCTGATACTCCATTATGGTTGGCTGCAGGCTGTGCACAGATCTTCAAAGCTGTAGGATTTTGCAGTGCAGTTCTCCAACCAAATTACAAATACATGTGCATAAAATGCATATGCATATGAAAATAAAATACATTATACTGGCATAAATTGCATAGAAAAATGTGTTTATTGGGAGAAATACCATGCTAAAATGCTTGTTGTCATGCAGACATTTTTAAAAATTCACAAAATGATGTGCAAATGTGGTATATTGAATAAAGATTGGGAAATTGAGAAACCAAGATAGACAGATTGATTCACCCTCTGGTGTTTTTTTGTAGCCCAAACAACACCTGTTATACACAAGAGGTATCAGTAGACTGGGGGGGGGGGAGGAGACCCCAATTCATGTAAATGTACCCAAACAACCTTTAGAAAAATCCTTAAGCTCCCCACAAAAAAGAACCCATTGTTGGGCTGCTGAATGACTACGTATTGTGGCAGTGGTAGGAGGAGGTAGAAAGTCAAAGCAAGAATAGAAAGCACTCCAGCTTCCATCATTTTATTGATGGTCTTACTTGTCATGGTTAATAGTCATTGACAGACCTCCATGAATGTGTCCATTGGACAACATCCCACCATCATCCTGCAGATAACAGCTGATGACAGCAGACAGCTTTCTGGCAAAAAAAAGGTTGCTCTCCAAAGGAGCAATTTCCTCTTCTCACTCCAAAGACAGTGCAGAAAATACCACAAAATTGCTTGAGTTCCTCCTTTCACCATAGGCTGCAGGGGCTCAGCAGTTGCTGATCTCTCCTGCTGTTACGGTACATTGGAAACAAAGTGATCACACCTTTCAGCGGCTAGGAAAATATGTGCCAAAGGCAAAGAAAGAGGAGTTCTCCTTTATGCGGCTGATGCCAGTGCTAGGTAAGCAAAATAAACAATATAATGCACGGCTGCTGATGTAGATACAGCAATATCTCATATTCTTGGCAGGCTGGCCATGTCTCTCCTTCTAGAATGTCTGTCAGCTGAAATCCATTTTAGAAGGCTGTGGGCAAACCCTAGCAAGTTTGTCCTAGCTAAATCCCCCTGAAATTAATGGGACTTGGGGTTAGGTTAGGTTAGGTTAGGTTAATGTCTGGGAGCCATGCTACAAACAAAATAAAGGGAAGTATAAGTCTGTACTGTAACAAACATCAGTCAGGAAAGGCTTGTGTTTTTGAATGCTCTTTCTTGTTCAACACCCCTCAAGTAGATTAAACAAGCGCATCAGAGAGGTACTTACTGCCAATGGCCGTGCAAATACAGTCAAACACATGTGAGAGGAATAGGCATGAATTTATGTGAAAATACTGATAATAGGTTGCCCTGAGTAAGTTTTCATCCTGTGTCCAGTGTGACAGAGGCCACATAAACACTATACATTTAATGTACTCTGGTACCACTTTAAATTGTGATGGCTTCCCCCAAAGAATTCTGAGAGATGCAGTTTAAGGGTGCTGAGAGTTGTTCAGAAACCCCCATCTCCTCAAAGGCCTACATTTCCCAGTGTTCCCTGGGAAGAGGGATTGATAGTTTAACCACTCTGGAAATTATAGCCCTGGGTGCACATATGCACAAACGTGTACACACACACACGCACACACTGCAGCAGAAGGGGACCAGCAGCCTTCACCAACCTGATGCACACTAGATGTTTTGGATTACAACTCCCATTAGGCAACTGTAGCCCTAAAACATCTGGAGGACACAAGGCTGATGAAGGCTAGCCTACAGGTAGGGTTTTAAGGCTGCCACTTAAACCAATAGTTCGTTCTGTTTGGAGAGAACCCCTGACAGCTTTCCTTTGCTAGAGTAAGAATGCTAATCAATAGATCATTGACATTAACAAAGGCCTTGTGTCTTGAAGGTTTTCTGTTCTAAAGCAACAACTCAAATAATCCACTAAATGCCTTGAAAAGTAAGGAGTTCCAGGAGATTTGTTGTCAAGCCATTTTACCTGAAACCAATAAATTAGATAACACATTTTTATTGATTCTTAAATGAGGCATACCTAATGCACTCATTTTTTGTGTGCTGTCTAGAAATGCACCATCTACTTTTGCCCCCGTATCAGGTAGATCAGAGGTTTCCAAACTGTGTGACACAACACATTAGTGTTTCAGCCGCAGCGGGTAGGTGTGTCACACAATATGTTATAAGGCGTTACTTTAACCTCTGGTTTGCTAGTAAAACTGAATTACTGTGTCACAAGATGATGCATGTCTAAAAAGTGTGCCACCAACATGAAACGTTTGGAAAGCACTGAGGTAGACGTTGGCTTCATCTATACCACATCTATACGTATATACCAGAACTCATTCATTCATACATTCATCGACTGGTATTTTTATCTCATTTTTCAGATCATTATTGTCACCCAGAATGATTCACATCAGGAGAGAAAGGGAAGGCAGGAGGGAGTGGGGGTAGAGTGTGTTTGTGTCCTTGCCAATGGGTTTACAATCTATAAAATTGTATTAAAATATTGAGTGAGCGATTAAGGACCCATCAATTTTGGCTTCTCACTGAACAGCAATGATCCAGGCGTTTGTTGCATTTATATTTCTCCCACATAATTTAAAGTTGATTTGTGCAGCAAGTTGCATTTTTTAATATTCCACTTTTCTTCCAAGGGGCGAGAGGTGGTGTACATAGTTCTCACCTCCCCATTTTATTCTAACAACAAGCCTGTGAAGGAGGCTAGGCTCAGAAACAGTGGGTGGCCCAAGATTACCCAGGGAGCTTCATGGTTAAACAGAGATAGGAACACTGGTCTCCTAAGAAGAAGAAGAGTTTGGATTTGATATCCCGCTTTATCATTACCCTAAGGAGTCTCAAAGTGGCTAACATTCTCCTTTCCCTTCCTCCCCCACAACAAACACTCTGTGAGGTGAGTGGGGCTGAGAGACTTCAAAGAAGTGTGACTGGCCCAAGGTCACCCAGCAGCTGCATGTGGAGGAGCGGAGATGCGAACCCGGTTCCCCAGATTACGAGTCTACCACTCTTAACCACTACACCAAACTGGCTCTCTAAGCCAACACACTAGTTCCTGCTTTGCTTCCTCTAGGAATCTTGTTGGTAACCTGAGAACAGGATGCTGAACTAGACAGGGATTTTGGCCTGATTCAAGAGGGCTTTTCATATCTTTTCATTTTGTCCTCTTTTTCTTGGTATGTGCTTTATGAGAAAATAAAGGTGGGAGAGAGCAGGAATTTCCAATCAACATATTATCAGAAGATGTGTGGACATCTAGGGAGGGGCACGAGGAGGAGCCACTAGCAGGGGGAGCCATCCCAGCACCCTTTGTTCAGGGTCCAGTCTGACATGGAGCCAGTACCGATTCAGCTTGGTAGACAAAAATCTGTAAATGGCCACTTTAAAGTCCCTTTTACAACTGAAGCTGCCAAATCACTAAGCAACCATTTGAGCTTGACAGCCTAATGTTATAAACAGAATTTTCAATCATCCTCAAAATTCTAAAATCATTCAAATGAATCTGTCAATTTCCAGAACCCCCTTCTTACAGCAGTATTTCATTTTAAAAGTCCAATTTAATATCCCGGCACTCTTCTGAGAATAATGCCTGCATTTCCGTCAGATGTTCAGGCTTCCATTGTATTTACAACCCAGCCTGCTGGAGGGAGCACACATAATTAGAGAGGCTTCCAGGGCTCTTATCAGCAAAAGAGATCTGAAAGGTGATGAAATTAGATAACCCAGGAAACAGTTTAGACCTTTCTCCAGACAATAGCTGTAATTTATATGACACAGGAGCGATGTGTAAAGCTTTGCTTTGTTAATTCCACATTTACACAGAACACACTTTGATGACTCCCTCCCAGCAGACTGCTTAAAAGCCTGGCCCTGCAAACACAAAGGGTTTTGTTTGTGTCTGGAATTAAATTTGGAAACCACCGCTTGAATAAATGTCACAGCCGTGGATAGACTTTGGAGGTTTGGGGGGTGGGTTGTGTTTTTTCCCCTTATTTCTTTTCCGCTTGGATCATTGTTACTTTGCTGCAGGTTCCTTTTGTTTGTAGTTATGGTAGTAGACTTGGGACAGTTATAAAGGTAAAGGGTAAAGGGACCCCTGACCGTTAAGTCCAGTCGTGGACGACTCTGGGGTTGCGGCACTCATCTTTCTTTTTCTTTCTTTTTTTTAAAATGATATTTATTAAGAGTTTAAGAATTACAGAAAAAAGAGAAAAAGAAAAGAACAAAAAATTTAACAAAATATACATTACAATACATAAAGAGAAAAGCATAAAAAACAATACAACAATACAGCAAAAAAAAACACCACAATAACATTAAAACACACATCCAATGTTCCATATCTTTATCTTTCATTTATTTGTTTCATCGACCTCCTCACACCTCCCTTTTTGTATTTTAATTTAATTAATTGTTTCAGCAAATTCTTTCCATCTTTTTCAATTTTTGTTATATAATTTATCTTAACGATCTAACCTTTTAATTAACTCAACAAATCCTTTCCATCTTTCACTATATTCTGTCATTCAATTTACCTTAATTTATTTAACCTTATCTTGCCATAAAAAAAACAAAAAACCTTAAAACTTAATGTACATAACCCCTTATATCATTTCTACTAAAGCCAAATAGTTTCATTCCAACGTTTTTCCTAATACTCATTAATTTTACACTAATTCTCAAAATATTTTTTTTAAAAAAACTTTCTTCCAATCTTCATCCGACGTCTCTTCTTCATGGTCTCGGGTTTTGTCAGTCCTTCTTGTTCATTCCTTCTAGTCCATCAACCTGGTGATCTTATGTCCGAGGCTCTTAAGTCTTTTCCATGTCCCTTCTGCAGATCTTCTTCTTGTTTATACCTGCACTTTACTTTGTCTTTTGTTGATCTTTTTCTTAATTTCTTTCCTTTCTCCTTGGGGGGTAGGTCTCGGGAGGACTCCAATCC